ATGACTCTAAAAATGAAAAATAAAAATGTTTTTTTTTTTAAAAAGGGTTTGATAAGATGTTGGTTAGAAAAGGGAAAAAGAAAAATTCAAAAAAATAAAACAGTTAAAAAAATTAACTTTGAAAGACTAATGAATCATGGTAAAAAATCCATGAATTCTATGTGCAGTGTTCCCTAGCGCTGGAGTTCTCCAGTTCTCCTTGATTGGTAAACTTGGTCTTGGCTGGCTGTTCGTGCTGATCTTCTGGGGGAAGGACCTGTTGCCGTGGTTCCCAAATGTCTTTGCCGGAGGCGGAATTGCCCCGCCCTTGCTGGGTCCGGACTAAGTAATCACGTCCAGTTTGCTCTCGGGAGCTTTTGTTCCCTGTAAGCTTTCCGTACAGCTTGGAGGACGAGAGTGAAAATGGCAGCCTCCTAATCTCCATCCGGGAGGACCCAAGAACTTGGGGCCCCGCTCCTCAGTGTGCTCCCAGAGAAAGGCAGTCAGTCACTCCCGTCTCCCCGGTCTCCGGCCGCACTCCATGCCCACCCGGCCGATAACGTGACCGAGCGTTTCTATCTCTGGAACCCGTCCCCCTGTGGAGTCTCCAAACCCAGCAGATCTGTGCGGTGCGCTCCCACGCTGCTCCTCCCAGGGGAGGGAGGGGAGTCTCCCTGGATCTGCCGCTTGTTGGGTCCCTGCTGGAGAAGCAGTGGCCCAACTGTCACCGATCACAGTTTATGGCAACCCCGAGCTGAGAGCTTGCTCCTCAGCTCCGTCTCTGCAGCCGGCTTCCTCTCATACCTGGGAGCTCTGCCGCACTCAGGCACCCCCGGTCTTTCTGTGACCCCAAGGGTCCTGAGACCACACCGTCCCACGAGGGTTCCACCCCCTGCTTAGCCACTGGAGTGACATCCCTCAGCGGAGCCGACTTCTCAAAGTTCCGATTTTGTGCTCCGCGGCTCTATCACTTGCCAGAAGTGGCCAATGGAGGCCCCCTCCCCCACCATCTATCCTCCCGAATATCGCCTCAGATTCACTTCTCCACGCGTCCTAACTTCCAGAAAGTGGTCGCATTTCTGTTCGGAGAGTTGTTGCTCTTCTTTTGTTTGATCTCCTGTTGGGTTCATAGGTGTTCAGAATGGTCTGATCCCTATCCAGCTGAATTCCTGAGACCAGACAAAATCCAGGTCTCCTACTCCTCCACCATCTTGTTCCCCCCCCCCCCCACTGCTATTTATTCTTTAGAACCCAGATTAAATATCTATTTGGGCAAAATTCATTGCCCATCTTTTATGTCTTCACAACTCTTTATCCATAGAACTTCTTACATCTTCCTGAATTCATCAGTTCACAAATCCATCACCTCCACTTGATTGAGAGCTTCCCTAGAGAATGGATTCAAATGCATCTTTTCCGTATCCTCAAGTATTAGCCAGGATCTAGCATGTGATGTGCTCTCATTATATAGCAGCTCAAAGGTCTGTGGAGGTTATGTGGTAAAGATACAGTTCTTGTTTTCAAAGAGCTTCTATCATATTCAAGGATAAAACGCTGATAAAATAATGAGAAAAACAGGTACCAAACTTTGTGACTACAGAAGTTCAGAAAAGAGATTATAATTACTGCATAAAAACTTCATGAAGGAAGACAACTTGAGGTGAGTGTCTCAAATACAGAAGGTAGAGGAGATTTAACAAATACCACTGAAGGTTGTTACAATAATTGGTATTTGCATGGAATGTAACTGAATCAACAAGAAATGACTTTGATACTGGGGAGAGTAATGATAGGAATTAATAGGAATGATACTTGAATTCACTGTTTTAATAATTAAACTAGGGTTCTTTACAGAGTTTGTTGAGGGAAGAAATGGACTACACAAAATGTTAGGTAGATATTTCAATAGATACTTTAACTTGGGCTAATTAACTGGACACTAGCAGTTATTTTGCAGATTAATTTCTCTTGGGGAACAAAAGCAAAAAGATGTTTGGAGAGAAAACTAGCTTCAGAGCAGAGCAAAATGTATCTTCCTGCCATCTAATTCCTTTTCTTCTTTGCATGGTTAATAGGCACTGTTTAGCCGCTTAGATTCAATACCAAAATTTAGAACCAAGATAATACAAATTAGGTAAAGGGTTAAAGAAATCAATTAGTGCCATTTATATAATATTTTTTATTTGTCTAGATTGTGGTCCAGGTCTTTCAGTTACCCTGGAAGCATAATGCTTGCTTCACATTCACAGATAATTTCAATCTCAATCTGGAGATGAATGAACACCCAAGAATGAGAGAATAAGTTAGCATTTATTATTGTTGCTATTCTCTATATTGACCACAATGGCTGACCAAATTAGCTAGAGATAAAGTTTTCTCAGATAAGATGGTATGAACTAATCTTTTATAGAATGAGAGGACAGGGTGTCTGGTGCATGTGTGTCCCTGGAAAAACTATCTTTAACTAGAGTTAAGGGCCCAGTGGTACTGTGGGCCTAATTTATAATCTACAGGATTAGAATAAATAATGCAGAGTTAAGTGTTTTTTTAAGGACAGGAAGAAAACAACTGAACTTAATCTGGAGGTAACATTTTTATATTCACTAATAGAATTTGATTTAGGGTGGAGGCTCCATATAATTAGGCTGGGAAATTTAAAAAATTGAACTAACCATTTGTGGAAAGGAGAAAAAGATAAACTGATTTTTAAAGATATTTTTTATTTGTCTTTTGATTTTTTTCTTTTTCCTCTTTTCTTTCTCTTTTTTACTCTTCTCTGTATCCTCCTAACCCTTCTCCTAGTTTACTGTATTTTCTCCTGAAAAGTGATAATCAGAGCAAAAATATATAAGGGCCACATAGCAACCTCAATTGTTTGCATGACAGATTTATATCAAATTACTTAGGTGAAAGATATCTAATGCTCCTTTGACATAATGGTAAATCAGATTTTGAGTGCTTTATGTAACATACTGGTAACTGAAAAAACATTTTTTAAGAGCATTTTCAAGAAAATTCACTTTTTCTTTTAATTTGTTATGAAATTGAGAGCTTTGATGGCATAAGTTCACTTCACTAATGTAGCATCATAAAGTTCCTTACCTTCTTACTCTTCACTCTGCTCCATTAGAAGGCTTAGCTGACAATTGTGATTTCCCTAGAAATGGCAACTGTTCAAGGAGAAAGTGTCAGCATTTTTGCCATGACATGTTGTTGTCAGCGAGGATTCATGGGGTGCGCTTTTCATGGGCAGATAAATATGTGCATGCTGAAGACTAGCCCTGAAGGAGACTGACGTCAGTTCAGCACCTGCCCTTCTGCAACATGCTGGGCCCTTTGATTACTGGAAATAGCTCCACTGCGTGGTCTGGGCTGCCCTGGGATTTAACAGCTGCTGTGTTCTTTTCCTCCCTTCGGAAGAACACAGATGACTGTCTTTATGAGAGGGGTCTGAATAGAAAGCAGATTTCTTACGTCACTTTTTTTCTTTTTTTCATTAAGTTCACCACTATCATCCACATAAGGAGATAGACAAAGTTGGCCATAACCTGGAACACTCTTTTGCTAAATTTAAAGAATTGGTTTACGACTTCAGTACATGAAACTACAAAGGGTATGGTGGGAGGCACTTGGAATGATATTTGTTCTTCCTATTGTGATTTCTGATAAATTAGTGAGTGCAAACACCATCGAAACCAATTTTACATATAAGATACAGTGCCTAGAACCAAAAAGCTTTCGGAGGGCTCTGAAAATGTTTGAAATAATATATAAAACTTACAGACATACGGGCAGTAGCAGCAGCGCCGGGTCCCGTGTGGAGGGGCTCTTAGCAGTGTTGTTTCTCCAGCAGCGGCAGTTCTCACTACCGCGCCAGGACGAGTCCGGTTCGTGTTCATCCGCGGAGATCTCTCTCATCTCACTCGGCTGCGGGAAATCGGGCTGAAGCGACTGAGTCCGCGATGGAGAGAGAAAAGGAACAGTTACGTAAACTCTTTATTGGTGGCTTGAACTTTGAAACCACAGAAGAAAGTTTGAGGAACTACTACGAGCAATGGGGAAAACTTGCAGACTGTGTGGTTATGAGGGATCCTGCAAGCAAAAGATCAAGAGAATTTGGTTTTGTAACTTTTTCATCTGTGGCTGAGGTTGATGCTGCCATGGCTGCAAGACCTCATTCAATTGATGGGAGAGTGGTTGAGCCAAAATGTGCTGTTGCAAGAGAGGAATCTGGAAAACCAGGGCTTCACGTAACTGAAGAAGCTGTTTGTTGGTAGAATTAAAGAAGATACTGAGGAACATCATCTTAGAGATTACTTCGGGGAATGTGGAAAGATTGATACCATTGAGATAATTACCGATAGGCAGTCTGGAAAGAAAAGAGGCTTTGGATTTGTTACTTTTGATGATCATGACCCTGTGGATAAGATTGTGTTGCAGAAATATCATACCATCAATGGTCATAATGCAGAAGTAAGAAAGGCTTTGTCTAGACAAGAAATGCAGGAAGTCCAAAGTTCTAGAAGTGGAAGAGGAGGCAACTTTGGTTTTGGAGATTCTCGTGGAGGTGGTGGAAATTTCGGACCAGGACCAGGAAGTAACTTTAGAGGAGGATCTGATGGATATGGAAGTGGTCGTGGATTTGGGGATGGCTATAATGTCGGGAGCCATGAGCAACAAAGGGGTTAATCGGGTAGAGCAAAGGCTCCCTGATCCCTTTGAACCATGGCCACCTAACTGCCCCCATACAAAAACATGTTGTACTGGCTAGCCTGAGTTGTATTTAGGCCAAGAAAACCACAGTGTTATTAATAGACCCTGAAAGATAGCGCACCTGGCCCTTTAAAGGCATACCGCGTAAACAAAACTGGGAAGAAACTATGCGCTTGAGGAATCTGGCCTTGAATCAGAAACACGGGACGGAGCCAGGAGAAGGGCAGGGAGGAACCTGTGAAACTTGTTTATGTCTTATTGTTATATAACCTAAGCCTATATAAAGTGTGTGAGAAAGAATAAAGTTGTTGCTCGCGGCATCCCCGTGGGCAACCCTCCTGTTCCCATACTTTTATGTTTCATTCTCTTACCCTCACCCCTGTTCGACCTTGCACGCGGGCCGTGGCACTATAATGGGTATGGAGGAGGACCTGGAGGTGGCAATTTTGGAGGTAGCCCTGGTTATGGAGGAGGAAGAGGAGGATATGGTGGTGGAGGACCTGGATATGGCAACCAGGGTGGGGGCTACGGAGGTGGTTATAACAATTGTGGAGGAGGAAATTATGGAAGTGGAAATTACAATGATTTTGGAAATTATAACCAGCAATCCTCTAACTATGGTCCAATGAAGAGTGGAAACTTTGGTGGTAGCAGGAACATGGGGGGACCATATGGTGGAGGAAACTCTGGTCCTGGAGGCCGTGGAGGAAGTGGGGGTTATGGAGGGGGAAGCCGAAACTGAGCTTCTTCCTATTTGCCATGGGCTTCCCTGTATAATATAGGAGAGGATGAGAGCCCAGAGGTAACAGAACAGCTTCAGGTTATCGAAATAACAATGTTAAGGAAACTCTTATCTCAGTCATGCGGTGATATGGCAGAAGACACCAGAGCAGATGCAGAGAGCCATTTTGTGAATGGATGGGATTATTTAATAACATTACCTTACTGTGGAGGAAGGATTGTAAATAAAAAAAAATGCCTTTGAGACAGTTTCTTAGCTTTTTAATTATTGTTTCTTTCTAGTGGTCTTTGTAAGAGTGTAGAAGCATTCCTTCTTTGATAATGTTAAATTTGTAAGTTTCAAGTGACATGTGAAACCTTTTTTAAGATTTTTCTCAAAGTTTTGAAAAGCTATTAGCCAGGATCATGGTGTAATAAGACAACGTTTTTCCTTTAAAAAAATTTAAGTGCATGTGTAGAGTTAAGAAGCTGTTGTACATTTATGATTTAATAAAATAATTCTAAAGGAAAAACAAAAAAACAAAAAACCTTACATATGAAAACAGAAAAATTAATAACTGTTAAATTGTTCATAAATCATTTTCTGGCAATTAGACAACTACAATTCAATGCAATTCTTACATAGATGTAAAAATCATAATCAAACCTAATGTGTAAAAATCATTAAAAATGATGTATCTCATAAACTGAAAATTATAAAAATTAGAACATTCTACTCTCATTTATTAAAATTATGACTTGTATGGGTTTGTGGGTATATTTTAATATGCCTAATACAACATGGGGTAAGGACTCCTGGCCTCGAATATATGGACCATGAAAGTCCTAAAATGGCCCTACTGTCATCTATTCACATAGAGGTTATGAGTTCTTTTTTTTTGTCACTCATCCATTTATGTCTTTCTTTTCCCAAGCCACAGAGTCCATTTCACCACTCTGTCATCTGAATCACTCCAATTTTCTAGAACTCCAGGCAGTTCTTCCTGCCTCCAGTAGTGCCTCTCTCTTGTAAATGTTCCTACTTCAGCTTAATGTGATCACCCATACAACTCTCACCTTGCTCTCCCTTCTCAGTGGCTCCCAGCAGCCCTGGCAGAGTAAAATCCAATCTTTTTAACATGATAGAAAATAACCTCCCAGCCAACCCCCCAGACTCCTCTTTCTCAATCCCAACCATTGTCTTCTCTTTTCTTTTCCCATGTATAAACACTATCTTTTATTCATATTGAACTTCTTATTGTTCTTTAATTAATATTTTTGTCTCCTTTGCACTTTTGCATGTGATGTTCTCTCTAATGGAAACATTTCCTTGTTCATATTCCACTGTACAAGTGAATAACATCTCTTCATTGTTGAGATCTTAATTTATAAAACATTTGTTCTGCTTCCCAAGATAAACTGGGTGGTGGTTTTATTGGCTCCCAAATCTCTTCCCCTTTCCCTTCTTGAGCCCTCCTCTCTCCATCCGTAATATTCTACTGATGGTTCTTTCTATATTTGTTTGTTTGTTTAGGTTCTTCTATATGTTATATCCAGTCCTCCTTCTCTATATTTCTTTCATACTATTTTCCTCTTTGGAATTCCCTAGCTCATTCTTTTACTATCTAACTCTTCTGCATTCTCCAGAGTCTTTAATTCATACCACCTCCAAGAAGACTTCTCTGGTTACTGCTCTCCACTATAACAAGAAACAATTCTCAGAACACATGGCATACATAATGTATTTAATTTATTCAACATTTAGCATGTACTCCAAAACATCACTGGCGTCTTGTCATATATGTTTATCAGCTCTGGTATGAACAGTTCTGTTAGGAAAAGAACCAGTTGCAACCTCTGTAAGGCAAAAATTCCATGTATCCCCTGAAACACCTATCAAAGTGGTCTATCTACATATTGGTAGTTGGTTAAAAAAAAATAATGAATTGAATGAATAAGTGCATATGTGACAAAATAATGATCTTGTTGAATAAATAATGGCAAATGGGAAAGGCTTATTTTATAACAGTTGAAAAAACAAATTATGAAAAGTTATTTAAAAATCAGATTATAAGAAATGTCAGAGCTATGAATCTTTAATAAATGTAGCTTAGAGAAATCAGTAGTGATAACTTGCTATGAATTCTCAACCAAAATAAAATTGACTATGGTGGGAATCTTAGAGAAAAAATTTTGTATACAACAAATCCAGTGTTCTGTGCACATCTCCACATTTTCTTAGCTGCACATTATTTTCAATGAGCTTAGACTTCTTTTATATCCAGAATTGAAGGGATTAACATAATGCAACGTCCGCTGATGAATTGTTATTTGATTTGCCAGTGTTTTAACCTCAGAACACAATGTTGTGGTAATTGCCACCTGTTTCTGTATTTCAGTCAGTAAAATACTGTTGTAACCTTTAGCCTTCATGTTTTGTGAAGATGATAAACAGTGTAGTGCTGTGTTAAATACACCAAACAGAGGCATTAAAAAAGCAATTAGCATCTTCTTGATAGGTTAGAGCGTAGACATTGTGCTTATACGTGCTACTAATATTACTTTCTTTGACTTTAACATTAAAAATACTAAGAAATAATAAAAGAAGAAATTGAGATTTGAGAGAGAAATCACAGAAGTCTGTTGTATGACTTTTAATATCCCTACCAGAGGTTTTATTTCCACATACCTTCAGAATAACAAATAGCAGCAGCAATAAGAAACAGAGAACAGAAACAGAACTATGAAAAAGAAAATAGGTCAAGAGGTTTTAGTTTCTGTGTTTTTTGATGTTTTGCTGTGTTTTGTCTTAACTGAAGAAAAAATAGAGTGCCTTCATTGTTCATTTTGCTGCCAGTTTTGTTGGTAAGATGAACCACAGATTTTTGAATCTTAGAAATCAGCTTATGGGAGGTTTTGTCTACTGTCTAAAACAGTATACTGGCAGAGATCAGTAGCTGTCCACCAAACATTCTTGCTTTTTCTATCCATCATGTACAGCTATAGCTGGCAGGTGGCTGGTTAGCTAGAAGCTACATTTCCCTGCATCTAAATTGAACCATATGACCAGTTCTTGTAAAGGGAATATAAACTATAGTGGTGTGTTTTATTTCTGGACATAGTTGGTTAACAAAAATGGGTATACCTTCTCTATACTTTTGTTCATTTCCCATCTGATTGCTGGATGCAAAGGAATTTGAGGTCTTTGCATCCAGCAGAGATTGGAGATGGTGCAGCCAGAAGAGTCCCTGAATTCCCTAAAGGAGAAGGGCTACTCACTGGCTAGGAACATCTGCTCAGGAATTATGAGAGCAAGCAGTAAACTTCTATATGTAAGCTCCTGAAATGTGGCAGTATATATCATTATGGTAACTAGAGTTATCCTGTGATCATTAACCCTAGTCTTGAGATCTAAATGGTACTGCTGCTATTCACATTTAGATAGTTTTGCTGCCAAATTTAATTGCATACTACAATCTTACCAAACACAATTCTAGAGTTAAAATCTTTTAAATCATTTTTAAAAAAATTATCTGTCTATGGTATTCAGTGCCTTTGATGATAAAGTGCTAGCAATGCATAAATAAATAATTTAGGTAGTGCATCTCCTTCCAATCTAACAGGAAAAACAAATATTACCCAATTAATCACAATTATAATAAGTGCTATAAAGGAAAAACAAAACAAAACAAAATGAGCTATGATAAAGTAAACTGAAGATCTTATTCTAGTCTGAGGGGAGGCAGAACCAGGTAAAAGTTCTGAGAAAAATATATTTATGGGCCAGATAAAGAGGGGGTATATAGAGAAGGGAAATGAGAGAGAATAGCATGCAAGAAGGCCTAGAAATGTGAAAAAGCGTGGTGCTCTGGAATTTTCTGTTCATTCAGAGATATTCTGTATGTTCAAGTAGTATGGTATTCCCATGGAATAAGCATTATATTGCCACTCAGTCAGTAAATAGCTGGCATGTACAGATCAGTTACCATATGCATAGCACACTCCTTGGTGAAATAGAGGATATAACCATATGTAAGGAAGGTTTCTGACACCTGAGATGATACAATCTGCCAGGGAGTCAATATTAAAACTCCTGTAACAAAGAATAACACGAATATCACATAATCAGATTTGACTTCCCATTTATTGCTAACATTCATACACAAACAGAGCTAAGGTGAGTACTTCCTTGGATTTATACACAGATTCTGGGACAAAAACAAACAAACAAATGGTTCACTTCCTTCCAGTGGGGTAACTAAGCTGAAATGCTGTGAGTTCTGATTTACCATTGGTTGATTGTCATGTAAAGGAGGCCAATGTGTAGAGGAGAAGTGGAACAGAGAGTTGGGGGGATAAGGAGAATAAAACAGATGATGTCACTGCTTAAATTTCAGGATCCATTTGTACCTAATGCAAAGTACTTAATTCTTAATTCTCTTCTTTCTCCTTCTCCCTGTTCATCTATATGGTTTTCTTCTTCTTTAAACTGGTTTGTGTTAAGTGAAAGCATGCTCAATAAAACAAAGATAGGCTCTACAGAGCCCTATACATTAGAAAGGGGATCTTAGTGGTTGCAGTTAGGCGTAGAAAGTAAAGTTGGTTGCCACTTAAGTGGGGGTTAAACTGAAGTATAAAATTAGGTCTTCGGGAGGATGTTCCTCATTTATGAAGTCCCCTTAGTGAAAAAGTTTGGGATCAGGACAATGAATTTTATAAAATTTGTTGAAGCATAGCAATGTTTCATAGAAATTCTTGGATTTATTAATAGTTACATAAAATTGTATGCATCCTTTAATTAAAACTCAGTAAAATATAAGTGCTGAAGCATTTGATCCATGAAATATAAATGAGTTACAGTCAAAAGTTTCTTTCATTCTTTCCCATTTTTTTAATGACCTACATATTGTAAACCAAAAATATATTCCTCCTTAAACCTAAGCATAATGGACACTAGTTTGATCAATTTTTGTGGTATTTTCAGCTAACTTTTAATTATGACTCAAGCAGCAGTTGTGAAGGATTGAAGGCTAATGTATAAAGCCTTAGGCCATTCCATTAACAGGCTCCTAAAGAAAGCCAAACTTGGCTCACAGAATCATAATGAATAACATATCACACAGATTCAAACACAAGAAAGCAAAACTGAAGCATTAATACCTTGAATGTGAGTGATGCCAAGCATTTTCTCCCAGTAAAATCACAGGTACTAATCTATGTAGCAGGGAAACGAGTTTTCCTAGTTA